TTTTTTTGTTCCGCGTTCGGCCAAACGTCCGAACGCGTCGAGAGGGGTTCCCAAACGTTCGGGCGTTCAGGTTCGGGTGTTCGGCCCGTCCCGAACGTCGGCAACCTTGTATATATATATATATATATATATATATATATGTATATATATCGTCACAAATAGAACTGCCCGATAAACCGTAGGCAGAGAGAGAGAAGAGGACAACAAACGAGGGGCTGTGATAAAATATATATATATATGTATATATATATATATATCATTAACGATTTATTATTATTATTATTTTTTTTTTTAATTTATATTCAACGTTGCTCAAACATTCGTTGATGTTTTCCAACATTGTCGCGTGTTGAAAATGGTGTTGAATCAACATTTGCTCAAACATTCCTTGATGTTTTCCAACAATCTTTCCAACGCTGTCGCATGTTGAAAATGTTGTTGAATCAACATTTGGCGAACAGTTAGTTGAACACTTGTAAATTGTTGAACGAATGTTGTCCGAGTGGTTGGTTTATGGGTCTCTCCGACATATGCAACGTTTAATGAGTTGAAGCAACAGTCCTTCATCGTGTGTTTATCAGTCAACGTGAATGGACCTTACAATGTTAAAAAACTGTGTGTAAATGACGTGGGCAACAGTTAAATAAGGCTCGAAGGTTAAATATCAAAATATATGAAAAAAATATTTTTTTCTGTTGTTGAGAGTTACCTGCATTCAGCCCTCTAATATCCATGTTTGTTCTAATATTACAGAGGAAATTTTCTATATGCAGCACAAATGACAATGGAGCCAAGGGGCAACCTTGGCGGAGAGATCTAGATAATGAAAAGGGCCCAGAGAGGTTGTCGTTAACCATTACGGCCGTCGTTGATATTGAATATAGAGCTACCACCCAATTACATAAATTCTCCCCAAAACCTAAATATCTGAGCGTCGAGAGCATACACGTCCAATTTACCCGGTCATAAGCTTTTTCAAGAGCAAGCATAAAGATAGAGACATTAGCATTTGTATTCTTTACTACCTCCAGAGATTCAATGGTCGTCACTATATTATCAAATATATAACGACCCTGTACAAACGCCGCTTGGGCACAAATAACAACGGAGCCAAGGGGCAACCTTGGCGGAGGGATCTAGATAATGAAAAGGGCTCTGAAAAGTTCTTGTTAACCATTACGGTCGCCGTTGACATTGAATATAGAGCTACCACCTAATTGCATAAATTCTCCCCATAACCTAAATATCTGAGCGTCGAGAGCATATACGTCCAATTTACCCGGTCATAAGCTTTTTCAATAAGGATAGAGACATTAGCATTTGTATTCTCTACTACCTCCAGAGATTCAATGGTCGTCACTATATTATCAAATATAAAACGACCCTGTACAAACGTCGCTTGGTTTTTACCCACCAGAGCAGGCAGATAGCGGCCCAACCGTTTTGCCAGAACTTTTGTCAATAGTTTGTAGGACACATTGAGTACAGAAATAGGACGTCAATTTCTTATTTCTGACCGATCACCTTTTTTATACAAAAGTGAGATGATCCCATTCCTCATTCCTTTGGACAAGTTCTCACCCAACAAGACCTGGTTGTAAATATTCACTAAATCATCTTTCATTGAATCCCAAATGAGTAGATATAGCTCTACGGGAAGCCCATTATCACTTGGGGCTTTTCCTTTGGCCATAGAGCCTAATGCCTCCCATGCTTCCTCCACAGTAATCGGACGATTTAAGTCCAACTTACCTTGGGTAGGTAGCCTAACTGTAAACGAAGACCAATGGTTAGAGCCATCAGTCAAATCGGTGGTAATATCCTCTTCTGGCCGTCTTATCCTTAATATATCTTGGTAGTACATAGCTGCGTAGGTACACAGTTGAGATTGCTCTCGTGCCACTGGGAGTTCCCAGTCGAAAGAGTGCAACAATTCACTCATTGGATGAGAAAGGCGTTTTTGTAACAATTTTTTAAAAGACTGTCGTGTCATCCGATCATATACCATTATGCCTTTAACCTTCAGACGTTCAGCCCATACTTCCGACTGTTCCTGTTGAAGAGCATCCCACTCCGCCATGTACTTGTTTCTGATTGGGCTCCAGACCAGGTTTGAAATCGGATGAAGGTTTATCCGATTTTCAACAAACTCAATTTTTCTGATTATGGATCTTTCTTGGTTATTTCGCCCAACAGCTAATATCCGAGAGAATAAGTTCAAGTAGCTAGAGAATATGCGAGAGTCTGCATCCCACCATTCCGCTTTTGAGGGAAAGGAGTTTAAGTTCTTATTCCAGTCGAACCAAAATTTATTCATTCAATCTACTACTCCAGGGTCCTTAAGTATCTGTGTGTTTATCCTAAAGTATCCTGACCCTCTCTCTGGAATCAAAGATTTAAAACTGGCACAGACTGACTTGTAATCCGAGATGGTCTGTGGACACTCTGTAATATCCACTATAGCTTGCCAGGCCGCATAAGAAAGGAAAAAATAATCCAATCTTCTGCGGGTGATTCCCACCCTTTCATATACATTTGAGGACCAAATGAAGCCTGGTTCCTCTGGGTGAAGTAGGCTGTACGACTCAATTAGGTCCATCCCCATCATTAAATCTAGCAAAGCTTTAACATCCTGATTGTCATGTATCGCCTCATGTTTATCTAGCGAGGTATTCCAGTCCCCAGCTAGAATTAAGTGTTCGCATTCCGGAATGAATAACAGAAGATCCTCAAAAAAAAAAATTCGTTCACGAGTATTGTTGGGAGCATAGACATTGGTTATTACCCATTCCTGGCCCTTTATCCATAATTTAATCCACACCCATCTCCCCCAAAGGTTGGCAAAAAAATCAAAGATCTCTGAGTCTCTGCCTGAAGGCTACGATGCACTAAGATAGCAACTCCTCCTTTCGAACCCCTAGCTGGTGACCAGATCTGTGGGCAATCCCACCAAGCCCCCAGGGTCTCTATCTTAGCCTCCGACAATTTACATTCCTGCAGACAAATGATATCAATCTTCTTATCATGGATCCAACTTTTTAATCGCCCTTTCTTGTTCCTACCGGATGTGTCCCCCAACCCACGAATATTCCAAGAAACAACATTAAGTCTGCCCATTCTGGGCAGGGACTCCAACAGGTTGGATATGGGAAGAGGAAGATGCGGGCTCTGCCATCACTTGAGACCAAGCTAACGACAGTGCCAATTTGAGAAACCGAGAGTTCAATTTCTTCTCTTTTCTCAATTTTGCGTTGAGTTTGTCTAGGAATTCATCTGTCAGAGCAGGAGCAACCTTCAGTCTTTGGAGGTCCGATTTACGACCTTCTGCAAACCAAGATAGCGGGAGCAGTCGAAGCCCTTCTGTCTCGAGCTGTTCCAACTGACCTGGTTGGAACCGAGCATCGAAGAGAGGAGTATAGTATTTAACCCTTCCTCCCGCTGTTTCAACCAGGAAACGGACCATCGAAACATCAACGATTATCCGCATAGGAAACGTTTTTTGAAACATAGTCCTAGCGAGCGATTCCGAAACAGTCGGCATTGGGAATTCTGGACAATCCATGCTAAATATCGAAGGGTTCCCATCATGCCCTAACCAAGCAACTACCCAGCGAGAGTTACGTAGGAAGGAGCAAACAATCAATAGGAGTTTAGTCACCATTACCGCTTGACCCTTGGACAACGCGTTCATCCGGGCGCGTGGCATTTTACGCTTACTTGCTATTGAGGAGGGTGTACCTGAGATGAAGGATCCTTCATTTGAGTTGTCTGAAGCCTCCGCATGTACTTCATGCACTTGAATCTCTATCCCACCACCCTCCGAAATTTGCCTTTGCTTCCCGAGAGATTCTCCTCGGGTTCGACTGCCCCCAAGACCCTGCCCCTGACTTCTCAATGGAGAAGGGGGGGGGGGAGGGGGATGAGACATCCCCATATAGCTTGGTTGTTGCCCTGTCAACAGGACAATCCAGCCGTGGTTCCAGGGAACGAAGGCATGCAGATTAGTGTAAGACGAGCTTGCGTTCAGTTGGGAGCTCAACTGCTGTCCACCAGGCTGTTGCATGACGAACGGATGGGGAGGAAGCCCCTGAAGAAGAGAAGCCCATCCTCTGCCTTGCAAGGTCGAATTCATTGCGCTCGCTTGAGAGGTCTGGGGGTTGCCGATGGTTTGTTGCGAAGGAATACCCGCCGGTGAAAACCTTGGATTGTTACATACCGTAGCTCCTCCCGGAGCGTTCAAGTTAACCGAATTCGCGATCATAGCAGCCACCCTCTGTTGCTGTTGTTGAGTCCCTCCTCCAGTTGGAGCGAGAGGGCCCTGATACTGAGTTCTTGCGCCTCCAGCCCGACCATTTGAAGTTGACCCTTGCGGCTGATTGCCGAAGGTTCTGCCCTAGGTTCTGCGACCCGGCCTTCTACATGTGTCCTCGGCGTGGAAGAAATTACAGCATCTTCTACACCACTCTGTATCGGCTTTCGCCAATCTTACGTCCAGCGTATCCCCCTGATGTGTTTGAACCCAAATTTTGTCTTTCATGCAGTCCCTCTTAGCCGGGTCGATATCGAAACGAAGATTCACCAGCTTCGGATCCGTTTCGTCCGCTTCGGGAAGATGACATTTCAAAATCTTGCCGATAGCTCTCTCCACATGCACGTGTATAAACACCATCTCGTCAAGTGGGAGTCCCATTGCCACCACCCAAAACGTGTCTTCATCAACTGTCTTTCTCCAATCACTAACCTCTGCACGAGTCATCCAAGGCTTGAAATCTGTTCGATAGGTCCCTCCCGCCAACTCCACAAAGTCCGTTCTCTTGGCGAGCATCCAATTGGTAACTTCTTGAGTTCTCGGAATGTATGACACCACATTGGGGCTTTCCACTTTTATATGACCTCGCTTGAACTCCTGACCAAAAATCTCGTCGCTGATCCAACCATCTTCATATGCACAGATGGCATCTTCCTTCACTCTTTTTGGTAGAAACCTGGCACCGTCCCGGAAAATTACCGTGACAGTCCTTCCTTTGAGCCATTTAACTTCAACTTCATCCACCGAATTGTTTAGAATAAATTTCACTTCCCTTCCATTGACTTCCATGACCCCAGGATCGATATCAGTCGGAACTATACCTTCCTCATAACATGCTCTGACCATCTCCAGAATTCGCTCCTCTTCCAGACGGTAATCTCCTGGTACTTGGCTTCTTGCATCCGGATCGATCCCTCCCCGTAGGGGGGGTTCGGGTTCCATCTTGAGCAGTTGTCTTCCGCACTTAGGGGACTTCTCCCTTCTACGACGAAGGTAGATAAACTTCGCTTCCAACAGAGTACTACGAACTGGATTATACCAATAAGTGCAACTTCGAGGCTCAGGGGCTGGGTGGCATCTGTCTAGTTGCTGACGTTACCAGCTATGGCCACCACCATAGTCCCTTGACAAAGCAAGGGCACCGGAGCAGAGTCACCCAGGGCAGTCCTTCCACGACGGAAATCACGCTGCCAACTAGGCCTGCCGAAGCAGGCGTCATTACGACAGAGCGCTAAGACGCCAGCGGTAGATCACAATTCACCTCATGGTTTCAGGATAATGGATTCCTTACTTTTCCCAACAAAAAACGAAAAAGAAAAAAAAAGAAAAAAAAAAAGAAAAAAAAGGAAATGTCTGGGGGGGAAATGCCTCAGGGGGGAAAACGCACCCCTGACGGGCTGCGAACAGGACCAATCCCTGTGCCTCCCCTCAGGTCCCCTCCCCTACGAACATCAGCAGACTCTGTTCAATGCCGATCGGGGGATCCAGGGCTCTATCTCCAGGTGGCGGGCGCCAAGTGCAGCCGGTGCGTCCAACAAGTAAGAAAAGAAAAAGCGACTAGACCACTTTTGCGGGACAATGTGGTAGCGAGGGGGACTAAAAAAGAAAATGCGACGAAGACGACTCGAGCGGTCCCATTCGTTAGCTGGAGGGACTGCGCTGAATTTGCGTGGGCGGCCGGACCATGAGCTGGAAACAGCCGCGGGTCCGTCACATCTGTTAGTCTGAGAGGCTGGGGATCTATGTCCCCGGCACTGCCACTCTCAGGCCTGCCGAGTCGGGTTGAGCGGGCTGCGTTCCCTATGTGTACTATGCGGACGTGGCGCGGTCCGACGTGGCGATGGAGGAAAGGTATTGTCGGCCATGCGAGTGCGAGATCGGAATTATCTCGCTGGCAGTGGGCTGCTTTTTGAACCGTGGGGTGTGGCTGTCGGTAATAGAGCGGGAACTGCAGGTCATTCCGTGTTGCTCTGCCTGGGTTGGGTTGACGACATCGGAATTGCCGTCAGTGCCATCGGTATGAGGGCGAATGAGTCGGGAAGCACGTAAGGTATCAGGGCCGCGCGCGGCTACTGAACGAAACGGGTTCAGGAGGAGGGGCCTGTGTCTCATTTGTACCTCCTCCTGCTCGTTCGTTTGGCGCGTAACGGACAGGAAGAGAGGAGGAGGGGGAGGAGGAGGAAGAGGAGGAGGAAGAAGGAGAGGTGGAGGAGGAGGGAGGAGGAGGAGGAGGAGCTATGGAATCATCGCGTGGAAACAGGAGCTTAGTGAAGCAGAAATCCGGAAGGCGAGGAAGAGCCAGGCGGCATCGTCGCTCAAAAGGTTCGGAAGATTCGTTGGCGGACCAGCCCGAACAGAATCAGCATGGCGAGGCGCCATCGCCGCGAGGTAGAAGAAGGAGATGGGCTGACCCTCGGAGATGGGCTAATCGAGGGCACAATCAGAGGGATAGTAATGGGGGAGGCATGCCTCCGGACGGATACCTTCTGGTGTGGGTCGGCCACTTCAAACCGTGGCAGAAAAGATTCTTTCGAGCTCAAACGCCCGGTGTCCTCGAGTACTACAAGAGGAGCGACCTCAAAGGCAGGTCAGGCACCATCAATCTAGAGGTAGGGCCTGCAATCAGACTACTCCGCCTGCAACCAATTGACCACCTCGCCTTCCAC